TCAAATTATCCACTCCGCACTCTCAACCAAGAAGGACCAAAATTAGCGACCGAATAACCAGTGGGAGATTTCAAAGAAGATTAAAAACTAGTGGGGAAGTTCAAAAATTCTTTGCTGGACAACTCTGATAGTGGGGAGAACGACAGCAACCCGGCAAAAGACCGCAACGACGAAAACTGAGCAGCAGAACATCCGTGCAGTTTCATAAAATCTTACATCTTGCATAAACTTCTTGCAGACCACACGAAGATCCTTCGGGAGAGTTGCACTGAACATCATAACCTGTTTTTCCTGCGGCGTCATTTTCACGATTTCTTGTACGTCTCTTCGCATATCTAAATACAATATACTTAGCAAAGTTCTACACTTCTAGAAAGCCACTTCAGTGAAACCACCAGACTCACTATACAAATAAACAACTGTCATCAACCTGCAGAACCCCATATAATCACATAAATTGAACTGAAAAACTACTCACCAACATCTCCAATCATCTTGTCGCACTCGTCTAACACAAAATATTTGATGTTATTTAGTTTTAAGCTGCCCTGCCTAGCCAGTTGTAAAGTTCGACCGGGAGTACCAACGACAATATGGGGGGTATTGTTTTTCAAAACTTCCTCGTCCTTCTTTATCGGAATACCACCAAAGAATACAGCTATTCTTATACCAGAATAATATTTACTAAAACGCTCGTACTCTTTCGAAATTTGAAAGGCAAGCTCACGTGTATGACACATTACGAGTACAGAAACCTGAAAAGTCGTAACAAATTAGAACAATATGACATTAGCAACAAAGAGCAAGCTGCAAAGCGAGTAAAATGTTACCTCTCCATCTACTGGCTCCAGTTGCTGAAGTGTTGCAAGAACAAAAACAGCCGTTTTACCCATACCAGACTTCGCTTGACAAACAATATCCATCCCAAGAATTGCTTGTGGAATGCATTCATGTTGAACTGCAAGAAATAAATAAGCAAAAAAATTTAATTTTCACATAACTAGAACTTTCAACTAGAATTAAATCAACATTTAGACAAAGCACTTTTATCATTTCGACTTCCCAACTAAAAATAGAGAATGGAAGCTTCATACTTTATCACCACTAATGATCAACCCAGTACCCTTTCGGTTCATGAATTGTTCGCTTAATCTCACAAGGAATACGTTTCCACTCAATAATAACTCAAAGTATAAGAGAACGAATCAAAGCCTAAAACCCACCAATGTTAATGTTAAAAATATGACCTTCCTCCACCCACAACAAGTCCATATAGAATATCTTCCTTATCAAATTAACAGTTAATGACCAAAAAACTTACAAATCTTTGCAAATATAATAACTCCGTAAAATTAACATAAACTTAACCTTGAATTACTCTAAAGAAGATTACAAAACAATATCACGAATATAAAAAAAACCTTCTGACGGATGCTCAAAGCCACAATCGACGATAGCACGCAAGAGTTCCGGCTTTAATAAAAAATCCCTAAAGCCACTACTGTGAATCGAAGCGTAGGTACCCTAGAAATAAAACCAGTGAACCACTGCAAGCAGATATATAGTCTTCAGAATATTTCGGCGGTGCATCGTACTTGTCGTAAAGAACATCGCTGAAAAAAAACTGGGAATGGACCAACCTTCATCTTCTTCTCAGTAGCAGTACCATTCTCCGGTTTTGCTGCTTCCGTAGTTTCCTCTGCCTCTTCTTCGTAGTCCAAAAGTTGATCCTCATCCATTGTAGACATTTTGGCTGAAAAACAGAAGCAGAATTAAAAGAAACCAACTGGGACTTATAAAACGTCAAACTTAATGTGAAAACAGTCTATCGTAAATTAACGTTTCAGCAGTGTCTAAATAAATAAATATACGATACATGCATCAGTGTAAATAAGATTCAAGAGAACATCAACAATAGGAACACGAGTTAATGTTCACAGACTTGCGAACGATCAACTACTTCTGGGCAACAAAACAATCGCCACTGCAGCTCGACCAATACAGAGCTAATGTGACAAAAAAAGAAGAAAAAAAAAACAAAAAAAAAAGTGAAACCAAAGAACACCTTCAACACCAAATTGTGGGAAATAAATAGTGACCAAAACTTTGTAAGCGGCAACTTCTCACTAAGCCAACACACCTTTAATATGGCTGAAAAATCGAATTTTCGGCGTGACCCGCAAACACTTTAAAATACTGTAGTGTGCACAACCATTTCAAAATTCAAATTTACTTTGTTAAGTAACAACCTAAAATTTTTTTATGCCGCGTCTTAAAGATCTTTTGCAGGATCTTTCCTCGAAATCACACTTTCTTTCGATATTTCTCGTCTGAAATTTAGTATCCTGTAATTGCTCTTGAAGTCGTTTTGAAAATTTTCTTTTCATAGTGGTAGACTTAGTGTTAAGTAGACTCAGCAAATTCATGCCTCATCGGGTGACTCTTTAAAGAACAATCCGCATTTCAACGATCTTAGAAAAAACTGTTTAAAATTTATTTTGGATTCCAAAGTCGCATTACCTAGAAGTATCGCAATTAACTTGGGAATTTTTTAAAAAATTAACTTTCCAACTTTTGAAAAGTTATGAGTCAGTTGAAGGGTCAAAATTTCGACTATATTTTGCCGGAAGTTGCTTGAACTTTATTATGGCTCAAGTGTTAGGGCCAAGAAGTCTACACTGATTACAAATATTATTCGGACTTCGTGCTAAATTTCCTTTTCAAACTAATCACATACAGTTGACTTTTGTTGTTCATTTTGTATACTCATTTTCTTTCCTAGCTTACTTTGCGGTTCCCGCGACAAAGAAAATACTTTTGCTTGGCGAGATGCCAGCACGTGTTTGAAATTCCTTACCTCTACTTGGCAATAAGCTGACGTTTTTTTTGGAAGTCTTAGGTTGGGTAATGCGTAATTTAAGGGTACTCATTACCTTTTGGAAACTTCATATTACACGCTCGCCAGTTCTGCAATTGGCAATGTCAGCCTAATTTACTCAAGTTCCTGAATGCCGATAAATTTTTCCATTTTAGGGATTTTGAAATATGCTCCGTTTTTCTCGTTCCCTATTCCCTTCCGACTTTACTTATTTTGATGGTTACTGTAGTAATAAAAAACAGCTATTCTCAGCTTTTTCCAAGAAGCAGTTGCGGATTTTTTCGTAAGGAACTACTTATTTATTCAGAAAAAAAAGAGATTTTGTGTTTTGATTTCAAATTTTAGAGTGGGTGGCAATTTGAGAAACTGCTGGATGCTCATGAATTCTGGCCATTCTAGTCCCTCCAAACGTCAGGAAGGTGTGGAATTTAAATTTGAGCGGGATCTGTAAGAAGATTCCACGTTGATATTTTAGCGTTAGAGAGTACCAGTGGTTATTAGGACAAAATTATAAATGCAGGCGAATGTCAGGAACGAGAGTAAACACATCTTAGCATTGAACATGATAAAGTGGAAAAATTTCACCCTTTCAACTGAAAATCAGCTAAGTAAGTGAAAGACAGTTCAAAAAATTGTTTTTTTAACAGTATTTATCGGGAATGCTTACACTTTTATTTAAATTGTTTTGAATTTGCGAAATGTATTTCGACAAGATTACGAGAAATATTGAATGACTGATCACTCATTACCCGTCTTATGATTTTATAAATTACCAGTGACTTTAACGTCGTAAATGTTCTTCAATTACAAAATTCAATTTAGCACCGGTGCTAGGGATCTTGACTGTGTTAAATTTTAATGTACCTATATTAAAGCGGTCATTTTTTACCTATATTTCTTTTTGTTTTTCTCAGCTTCTTTTTCTTCTTCAAGATTTAGGAACAGTTTTACGCATTTTCTTCTTAGTCCTGAATTTTTCTTAACATTCTTCTTTTCCTCTTATACCGTTGACAACATCCAACTAATTTTACAGGCGTACTGATGTTGTGGATACGCAAATACAACTTTGAAAATTTGGAAGGATAGTAAAGTAATATTCCACCACAATTTTCTGTTGCGCGTGGACAGTTTTCTGATCAGCCCGAAAATGCTCTCTTGATTTCAGCATTTCAGTTACGAATGTCAAGCAGACTGATTTACGGATGGAGTGGTCCGAAAGTTAATGTTAGAAATGGAGTGTAAAATGAAGCTTTTCAAACAACGTCGAAATAAGCTACTCCAATACGTAAGCAGTTAGAGGGTGAATTTTAGGAGTACAAGAGCCTTTATTATGAAGGAATTAAGGCAGAAAAGCAGTTTTCCAACCCATTAGTACAAATATAGCAAATTTGATCGTAGTTTTATCACTAGTTTCTTGTACTCTCCTTCAGTGCTGGTTTGTTCCCTCAATTCCAAAACAAATTTCGTAGTAGTATTTACAAAATTTGATGCAGAAGGTACGAAACTGTAAAAGAATTTCAGTTTGTTGAAGAAAATTGAGAGTCACAGGTCTTCAAAATTAGATTACTTTTGGTCGAGAAGTGGGGACTAACGGAAACGTCCATTTAAGGCTAGATTTCTTTATCTTTATTTTTACTTTTCAATATGTATGAAATTTCTTTGAAAGTTTTAGTTTTTGGTTTTGTAAAGTTCCAGCTGTTCACTGACTAATCCACACTTGATTTTTTCGTAATTACTGTATTTTGAACAATTTAAAAGTTAAATAATTAATTTATTTACGAGGCGTAGTCTTACGAAGTGAATGAATCTGTGAATTTTTAGGTGTAAACTTTCGTCCAGGTTTTGAAGAAAAAGTGTTGAATTTTTTTTCTGGAACAAGCTGCGTTTCTAAACAAATATTAAAGTTTTACTAATTTTTACCTTTTACAGTCGTTTGCATTAAAAATGACGTTTGCTAATAATGGAATTTACCACTCTAGTGGAAGTCTCAACAGGAGGTGAAACTTTTACAAAGCTAACGAACTACAACTTTCCTGTTTATGAAACAGACGAAGATGCACCAAATTTGTGTGAATCATTTTTGAACTATAGAAAAAAGTTGGTGCGAACAGAGCGATAGTAGGAAAGTGTATTCGGGAGCGCTTAGCGAGGATATTGACTGCTTTGGCGACTAATAGTAATTTTTTTCAAGCAGAAATGCTGAATTTTTATAGGGTTTCTTATAAGGCACATTTCCATAACAGAAGAGGCAGTCAACATCTGAACCTCAAAAGGGAATGATTTTAAATGGGAAGTTTTTGTACAAGTGGTTGATTTCCGAAGTTTAATTTTGACTTTCACCAATAGGATGAGATCACTGGTTCATCAAGTTGTTCGTCAGACTGCTCTCGTACTGCGTCACGAATTCAAAAAACTTGTTTTCCAATCAGATGATTTGGGATTTATTGGCCATGTTCAATTACAAATTCAGTAATGCATCTCCTATTTTAGAGATTTTAGCTTTTGTTTGTTGTATCAATTCTCGGGAAATTCTTTTTTTTATCTGCTAAACTTTGGTTTGCTCTGATAATGATGGAAGGCGAAGAAACAGTTTTTTTGAAGCAAGCTATTACTTGTTTTTTTAGAAGAGGTTACAATGAAAATTTTTTGTGCTCACCGTGTTATCCTGCCGATTGCGAACACCCTACATACTTCTCAAAATTTGCTGTTTAAGTAAAAGTGGCACCTTCTTTTTCAGCGAAAAAGTTTAATAGTATTTGTTCAGCGGTGAAACGTCTTGCAAAATTTGGGAGGGAAATATTGCCAGATCAGTTCTATTGGTCTGATTTAATTTTCGAATACAATGATTGGGTCACTATTCTAAGGAATTCTGGCTAGAACAGGTTGCCAAATAGTAATTTAAAGAGACCTTATAAAACATCTTCAGTGATGAAAGGAAAGACATCATAATATCGGAAGAAGAATATTGCACTTAATGGTGAATATATGGATATATGGGAACAGTGTACTTTATTATGTTTACAAATGATGCTGATGCTTCAGTAATCTGGATGCGCAGGAAGGCTATAACAGAAATACTCGGAACTTTTTATTGCTTAACTTTTACGTACCGTTCATATTATTCAGCTTTCTTTTGTATTCATCTCAACCTTTGGGGTTATTTCGTGGCATTCGACGTAAGAGATAGAAAGATGGCTATCGGTTACAACTCTTCTTTTGTTTTTTGAAAACTTTTTTTTTTCAAACTTTTTAGACATGGATATGAGATTTAGATTTGGGATTTTCAGACTGGAGAAATTTTTTTCCCTATAATTTGCAATTACAGGAGAGTGAATTCTCAAGTTATTTTTTCAGGTATTTTGGGGTGTAGTTTCTCGTCACAAAAACTTTATCTGAGTAAATTTCAAAATACAGTGGTTTTAGATGTTTTAGAGTGACCATATTGTTCTCGAAACTGCATTTCTCACCTTAAATACAATTAAATTTTAGGCTAAATTGATGTTAGCAGAAACTGCGCTATAGACTTCTGCTAAAAAAGGTACCTTTCTTGTATAAATGTTTTACCTTTCTTGTATAAATGTTCCGCTAACGTTTTTTTTAAAACTCAACAATAACATTGTTTTAGAACTATAATTGATTGTTTTATGCTAGCTTTTTTATAATCTTCATTGGAATTTGAATTCTTTGCTGGAACATGTACAGAATTTCGAGAAAACGTATCTATTGGTTCTTAAAATTCAACGTCCTGTACAGTAACTAAACGATGGATAATACCGATTTTTTTTGAAGGAATGTTTATAGGAAATTACACTTAATTCTGTGTTAAACTGTTTAATTTTAATAGGTATTTTCAATGGACGG